CAGTGCGTAAGACATTAGCTCGCCTTAGGCCGTCCAGTCAGCAGCAGCTCGCCTTAAGGCGTCCAGCCAGCAGCTGCCAGCAGCGAGCCAGCTGTTATACACATGTATACATGTTACACGCTCGCGGAGGTATGCACTCTTTTTGAGTGCCCTCTGTCTAGTTCTCTGTGTGCTGACAAGCGCTTGTCCACTTGAATACTTGCAGATGACACCAATGCTGCAGCTGCCAACATGTGGACTAGGAAAGATATTGTCGAATTTAAAAATTCCTTGCGGAAAGACAGAGATGCAGTCATTAAGGTTGGACACGGGGAAACAGTGACAGTGAGTATGAATAAGTTATTGTAAAGATTTATCTTGAAATGGTTCTTTCACCTAGTGAGGTTCAGTTGTCAGTGATGCTGGCGATTACTGTGTAAGGTTTCGATGTGGTAACCTTGGCTAAACTGATGTGTAAGCATTCACATGATTGGAAGAGTCCTGGTTGAGTGTATAGTTTGTTTGGTAATTTCTCTTGATAGTATTGCGATACGATATGTATCGTGAAGGCTGTATACTGATAGGGATCAGATCCTGAGCTACCCATATCGTCCCACCCCTAATCAACTCTGTGATATATTTATTATTCGGTTGAATTGATTTTTGATCTACCTTCGTTCTGGGCATCATTGTGCACCTGTGAAGACCTATCCGTCATCGTCACTTGTCGCACGAGTGAACATTGTGTCACCGCTATTGTTTTACACTATTCGCACGAATGAACATTGTGTCACCGCTATTGTTTTACACTATTCGCACGAATGAACTTTGTGATTGTCTGTTTCGTAGGTACGGGTCCCGACGCACGAGGACGGCACGTGTCTATTCTGGGAGTTTGCCACCGATAGCTTCGACATTGGTTTCGGATTATACTTTGAGTGGACGACACCGCCAAACAATACCGTTAGCGTCCACGTGAGCGAGAGCGATGAGGAGGAAGAGGAAGAGGAGGATGAGGACGGGGAAGGTATGTTTGTTTGCCCCCCTCCTCCACGAATCGTACCCTCGTGCGCATGGCGGCAAGTGCCGTCGCGCAAGGGTGTGAATGCTCTATTGTTTTGCTGTGCTGTGTCATAGAGTGAAGCCGCCTCTCGTTGCCATGCGAATGTTCTACTGTTATGCTCCGCAGCATAACAAAAGCGAAAATTCTGTCGTTTCGCTGGCCGGCATCACAAGGCGCGGCCGCGTCTCGCTGCCGTCCGAATGCTCTATTGTTTTTGTGTCGCTGTCTTGCAGAGCGCGAGGGCGACGTGGAGAAGGGCGTGCGGGTGGAGAAGCCGGCGACCGACGAGGTGATTCCCGTGTATCGCCGCGACTCGCACGATGAGGTGTACGCCGGAAGCCACGTCTACCCGGGCCGCGGCATCTACCTACTCAAGTTCGACAACTCCTACTCACTCTGGCGCACAAAGACTCTTTACTACAGGGTCTACTACACGAGGTGAGGAGGCGGCGGCGGCGGAGGCGGCGGCGGCGGAGGAGGCGGCGGAGAAGGGAGAGCCGCGCGTTTGCGTTCCCAGGCCGATTCCGCGGGACGGCGTCAAAGAAGAAAATCTTGCGAGTTTTTTTTCCGGCGAGTTGCGATTGCGACGTGGCAGTGGATCGGCCGTGGTCTATCTTTGCACGCGCGTGCGTGGCGGAATCTAGCTGTGCCTTTGCTGTGTGCTGATGGAAGCTGTTCTATCGTCGTCGTCGTCGTTATCGTCGTCGTTGCTTGGCGTATTAGCCATGTGCAGCGCGCTCGCGTTCTGTTGTTTTGCGCGGCCGCGGCAGCGCCCGTCGACGTGTATGGCTGCTAGCTGGACCATTGTCCCCGCGCGCTCACCGAAAAACATAAATGCTCGTGTGGAAGATCAAAGTGAGAATTCGGTAGAGTGTGGGCGTGTTGACGCGGGAAAGAAAAATGGCCGGGTCGCGCGCGATACGTCATGTTGACATGCTGTGAAATTTGCGCGAGATCGAGTTACCGATCGAGTGTTCTGTGGCCTGTCATTGCTGTGGTCTACGTGTAAATTGTCGATAAATGTTATTGTGTATCTGTTGGGAAGAATATAGACGACGTAATAATAGCCGGACCTTTAAACTAAGATAGGAAAATGTGCCGTTGTTTCGTGTCTTAGTCAATCTGTGGGAATTGCCGAGAAAGTTTCGTAATAGACACATGCATCCAAGGTGCACTTACAGTCAGTAGGCGTGCCAATCATGTGGACGTTGGCTTCTAGCATCTCCACCAGAATTCAGCTTTGAATGTCTCATGAGCTTTGAGTCGATATTGGACGGATGGCCGCAGCAGCAATGCTAGACAATGTTACGGGCAATCAGTACAGTTCACCTTTTTAACAACTAGTGATTGCTGCTTATCACAGGAGATTGTTCTGTCACCGTAGCGAGGTTTCGTATCTGCTGCTGGAGCTTCACTGCTGATAAACACCCATCACTATTGAAGCATTTATATTGCTTGCATGCTAGCTCTCCACTCCCATCTATTTTGCTGCCATTTGCAGCTATTCTCTCGTCTTTCTATCTCAATTTATCTCTGTTGCACGTCAGGGGGTTCTGTTTTCAGAAACACAATTAGTCTTAACATTAGTCTTAACGTTTGACTTTGTCCTGTTGACTGTTGACAGAAACATGATGAAGATACGATGTTTGTCATTCGCAGTGTATACAGAAGTCGAGAAAAAAGTGAATACTAAGATTAATGTTAATTTTGTGTCTGACAACAGACCGCGTGCTTCCACCCTCTCGGGCAAATGAACATGTATGCACTTTCTCTTCACTCACGCTGCCATCTGTGCCACGAAGTCACCCAATTAGATGAATCGGGTTTTCCAGTATTAATTCTCCAACTCTGTTGTTGCCATAACAACGCTCTAACGTCTGTTCCTATCTCAGAGGTGTGTTATCTGTGACCCACTATATATATGATCAGATTCCTACAGTGTGGACACTTGTTGGCAAACTATAGGCAGCCATGTTGTTCCTTGCAGTTGTTTCTGTAGACGAGTATTAGTTTTATGTAGTTCACATGTGAAATCTGTTGTAGGTAATTCCGTTTCAGAACCGGATGAAGGTTTGAAAAAGATAAAGGAAGCAGACATGTTAAACGTGTGGCTTAAGACTGCAGTCAGCAGAGAATGTTGCTCATTAAACACTTTCTGCTTGTATTTGTAATTAACGTTAGATGAGGGGGGAAGACGTTTGACTTTATAGAAGTGAATCCACAGCAAATATTTAGATATAACCGGGAAATACTGGTCGATTTTTTTCAGCATACTGAAACGCGTTATTTCAATTATTTATAAAAAGATTGTTTGCTAAGATAAATCTCTTGTAAAGCATCAATGAAGATAGCTAGATAAATTGCAGAAATACAAGTAAGATGTTGTCGTCATTTCGGATACATCAATAATAGATATAATGGTGTTCCCATTGCATTTTAAACTAAATGATGTGTTATTTTCAAACAGTGCCTGTTATCAGTTATATCACACGTATTCATAACGTGTCAGCAAAGTATGTACCTCGTAATATTAATTATTTGATTACGTCATATATGACATCTCGCATTTTTATTTCTAACGATGCAAAAGATTGTGCGACTCATAATGTTATTTAATGATGTTATTAAAGGAAACGGTATATAAATGTTTTAGTATATAAAGGCTATGTCTAGACTTCATTTTTTACTACGCAATAATTTCACACAATGTATCTGTATGTATAAGTCTATGTATGCATACATACACGTATTTACCTTTTCACTGGGAGTTGGATTTTGATAAGAATCATATTTTGATAAGAATCAAGAACGATTTCAAGAACCAATCGGATAACTTAATTAGCTCGAATGATTTCAATCTCCTCACTGTAAAGCAATATTCATAGAAAGGATGGCAAAAATGCACAATCGTTATAACCATAGGAATATATAGAATAGAAACACTAGTCTAAACTATCGTTCCTACAAGTGTGAATAATCTTTTCAAGGACAATCTGTGACAAGTAGTTTTAGCTTTTTAGAGTCATCATATACACCTTAGATTCATATATAAAGTAAAAAAATTTTGTTTTACACGAGTGCCGACAGCAGATTAAACAGCCGCTATAGCTCGCCGATTACCGACGTACACAATAGTCGTTTCATGTTAATTTTCATTCACGTAGATTCATGTCACAGTCCTCTAACAATATGTGCTTTGATGTAACATGTATCACTCAGAACTATGTACCACACAACCTACTGTATCACTCAGAAATTTTATTATTTTAACTGCTCAACACTATTAAATTCATTAGATTTTTTCTCCATGAAAAAGACTGTCTTCAGTACAGTATTTGTAGTTGAATTACATGCAATAAAGATTTAATAATAATAATAATAAACAATTGCCGGTTCTTTATGCTGACCTTTCATCTGCTGTGTCAGGCAGTAACATTAACAGTGAATAAAAGAAATCACTTATTCCAATCCTTACTCCCCTCTCGCGGATGGTATCGCCCACGACCAGTCAAGCGTGGAAAAACTTTTGCTGGTAAATGGCCGTATTTCAGCCGAAACTTTTTCACACCGCGAGGGGCAAAAAGTGCATTTACGCCTATAATACACGCACACGCGTGCGTGCGACCATACCCGCGTGTGCGCGTCCGTTAATGTGTGTGTATGTGTGTTTGTGCGACTGTAAAAACGCGTATTATAGCCGTATATCCACATTTTGTGCTTTGGGGGGTGAAAAAGTTCAGACTGAAATACGGCCATTTGGTCGTCAAAAATTTTCCATGCTTGACTGGCCATGGGCGATACTATCCGCGAGAGGGGAGTAAAGAAGTGACAGAGGGATAGGAATTGTCGCGTCCGTAATGTGCATATATGTATCTATGTAAAACCACCTGGCTCTACACGTGTGTCTCGTTAGTACATCTAGTTAGAGCTCTAGCCTTTCATTTGTGAAACCGGGGTTCGAATCCCCGTTAATTCTTTGCTAAAATATTTTCTAACTTGTGTAAAGGTAAACGTATTGCAGACATGTATGCAAAGCATATTACGAACGCACGCACGCACGTTCAACACTGAAATGGAAATTGTGCGACGCGCGTGTGTGCGTGTGTGTGTGTGTGCGTGCGTGCGTTCGTAATATGCTTTGCATACATGTCTGCAATACGTTTACCTTTACACAAGTTAGAAAATATTTTAGCAAAGAATTAACGGGGATTCGAACACCGGTTTCACAAATGAAAGGCTAGAGCTCTAACTAGATGTACTAACGAGACACTCGTCTAGAGCCAGGTGGTTTTACATAGATACATATATATGCACATTACGGACGCGACAATTCCTATCCCTCTGTCACTTCCTTACTCCCCTCTCGCGGATAGTTCGCCCGTGACCAGTCAAGCGTTGAAAAACATTCGCAGCAAAATGACCGTATTTCAGCCGAAACTTTTTCACTCCCCGAGGCACAAAATGTGAATTTACGCCTACAATACACGCGCACGCGTGCGTGCGACCATAACCGCGTGTGTGCGCCCGGTCATGTGTGTGTATATGTGTTTGTGTGACTGTAAAAACGCGTATTATAGCCGTATATCCACATTTTGTGCTTTGGGGGGTGAAAAAGTTGAAGCCGAAAACCAGCCATTTGCCTAGCTAACTTTTCACCGTGCAACTGATGCCGGGGGCGATACTATCCGCGAGAGGGGGAGGGAAATACTGAGGGGAAGAGAGTGAGAGGGGAGGAGGAAGGAAAGAGGAGAGAAAGGAGGGACGGACGGAGGGAGGGAGGAATGCAGACGGAGATGTGCACACGCATGCGCAGTACACATGCGCAGACAAACGCACGTACGGCACAAACGACAGACACACAGGCACGGATGCACATATTCTTTCCATATATATATATATATATATATATATATATAGTTATACTATATATATTATATATTATATATATATTAGTTAGATAAGGAAAGTGGTATAAAGACGTGTAGATAACTCGTACTGTCTCTATATATGATTACTCCCATGGCTGTTACAAGTCTACCTGACCTGCATCTGTATTCGATGTTGACATCATCTACTGAATGTCATACTGATACTATCTATCAGGAGTGTATAATATAGATATATCTTTCTAAATCTATATTATACACTCCTGATAGATAGTATCAGTATGACATTCAGTAGATGATGTCAAC